CATTTTTTCCTACTCGGACCCGCCGTACTTCCTTTGACTACTCCTGAGATATAGTGGAAACATTTTGTTCTGGTGGAGAGTGGGGAGTGAAAACACCAATGCAGCAGAGAACGACCACATGAATCAGAATCCGCTTAACTTCTTAAGACAGACGACCGAGAAAGAAAGGCTCCGCGTTCTCCAAGTGGTTGATATTAGCTTAACATGCTAGCCGCTGCTTCATTTCGTATAGTGATAACGCTTTCTCTTTCTTAGCGCTCCGCCCCCCCCCCCTTGTATAGTAAGGGGAACTTTGGTTGCGCGGCTTTCTCTTATACTTATAGGGGTCTATTTTCTCTGACTTGACTCAGCTTGACCTACTTGATTCAGCGGTTAGAGTATCGCTTTTATACGGCGAGAGTCATTGGTTCAAATCCAATAGTAGGTAAAACCGACCGAAAGCCCCGCTTTTGCCAGCATGACAGCAAGCACGGACTGGCAGCAAGGAGTCTAACGTGGCAGATGCAGAAGTAGTCGGAATTGGTGTTGTGGAAGTCTTTGGGGCAGGCGTATCCGTAGGGGCCACTATATAGTAGGCAATAAGTAGGCACATGATAGCTCCTATTGATTGAATCAATCGTACGAGTGCTTGTGTTCAGGTAAGGCCCAAGTCCTTATGCTTAAACTTCAAGTGATGCCCGGGAGTCAAGCAGTTATGGGAAAAGCGGATTCCATATATTTATTACTATTTTTATCTGGCAGTGGAAGTATAGTCATCCGCAACAAGAGAGAGACACAGCGCGGTCGAGTGCCCAACTCTTTCATTCTTCGCGGTTGAGTCATCAGTGATCGTAAGAGAAGTGGCCTAGTTTATCGGATATCGGATTCCGTGCCTTTACCACTTAGCTTTGAAGTTGAATTCCAAATAAATAGGATAAGGCCTGGGCCAAGACGCCTTAAGTCATCGGGTGAAGCACCTGCAGATAGGGCACCTCTTTCTCCCTTTCTTTGTCGGGAAGTAAGTAAAGATAGATTCCCTTGACTATGGTTCACCTTAAGCTTTCAAGCTAAACCTAGTTGTTCGGATATAAGACTTTCAGTCAAGAAGCAATCCCTCTACCTCTTCTACTATATGAACGAAGATTGTGTCAAGTGAAGTTTCAACTAGGAATTCATTAGCTCACCTCAGCCAAATCATCGGAACTCTCACAATAAGGTACGGAAGTTTCTTCGGCAGTAGCCGCAGTTTATCCAATAGAAAATGTCGTTGTAGCTGTAGTCGCAGTAGGGGAAAGTTAATCACACCTAGTTCAGTCTCCAGGTTCAATAGATGCCATGCCTCTTTATTCCTAGTTAAAGCGGGAAAACAAGGTCTATCACTCCAAGTGAGCTTGCCCTGGCATCTCTGTCAAGTGAATTCAAAACAATTAGAAAAAAAGTCCGTCTGAGAATGTAGTAAGAAGGTATCTATACCAGGCATCTCCGCGAAAGTCTAATTATCAAGTAGTTCAAACAAGAGAGGCAAGCGCCTTATATATAGGGCACTAGCGCTTCGCCCACCACACCACACTTCCTCGATCTCGCCATAAGATCTGTCTTTGATGCCCCCGAATCAATAGGCCCCACCGCCGCTCGAGGATAAAAAGAATAACATGAATAGACAGTGGACGTCTTTGCGTGCTTTGCTTAATCTGGTTTGGTTGAGAAGTAAGGTAGGACAGAGCCGCCGTTTGAGCCCTAAACTATAGAGGTCGTTTCAGTGGGTGTCCAGTGAATAGAAAAATACCTTTACCAGGAACAGACCACCTTTTCTTTTAGACGATTGAGAAGTGAAGTTGAAGTCTCGAAGAAATCCGGGGAAGAAGTTTAAGAAGGTTCGGGAGCTACCCCAGTAGTAATAGGAGTTGTCGCAGAAAGCCTTTCTCTTTCTTCTTTATCTTAAGTCAGTCTGTAGAGGGATGGTACAGAGATAAAGACTTCTTTCACTCTATCTTCTATTTATCCTATATCTGCAGAAGCTGTTTTAGGATTAGTTACGGGATAGCTATATAAAGAAAACCCGGGTAGCCGCAGCTTGAAAGTTTAATATGAAACTAGCATTTCGACAAGAGAGAAAACCCTAACCCGGTGAGTGAGAGAATAAATCCCCTTCCTTCTTTATCAGATTATGCGAACCCTGACTTTAGAGAAAGAACCTATTCGAAGGTAGTTGCAGTTTGCCCGGGAGTAGTTGCCGGAAAGGTGTCACCTTGTTTAAAATAGATCCGGATTTAATAAGTGTTCTTATTATAGCATATTCGAATTCATTATTCTCTGTCTCAGTCTTAGAACAACCCGGGATAATAGCCCCGAGGTAGCAGCTTGTCGATGGCATTGAGATAGATCGGTGGTTGGCTTACTGCTTGTTTATGCTTACTCCCACAGCAGCTGCCCCTTCTATCCCGTACTAAGAGACTTCTCCCACAAAAGATCGATCGAAAGCCCAGGAAAGTGAGTGCTGCGAATTCCGTTGCCAGTCAAGATCAAGAGTTGTCTGCTCCGGGTAGGGCTCGCTCCGGGAAAGGAAAGCTTTGGGCGGAGAGTTCTTCGCATTGAGTGAGGGTAGCTTCAGAGACTCATTCATTTTCATTTAGAGACTCAATGGAAGTTGTTTATTGTTCTAAGGAATGGGAATGAATTCTCTTCCTTTAGGAATAGAGTAGGCAGTATAAGTGGTTTTCTCTTCTAGTCTATCTCTATAAAAAAAGGTATGGGCAATCTTCGAGAGGCTTAAAAAAGAAAAGAACACAGAGCGGTCAAATCAAACTCATGGGTTGGTTAAGCTGAGTAGGCGGTTGACTAGGCCTTTGCCTTGGCATATAGCCATGTTGGCCTTGATTTGGTGGAGACGGGCGAACCTGATGAGACAGTGGTAAGGTTGCCTGAGGTGGTGGAGCAAAAGAGACCTGCATACCCTGATTTGATTGGGGAAGAGCTGGTTGTTGCAACATTGGTACGTAGGATTCCGAGAAGAAAGAGGCGAGCGCATCGAAGTTAGAGAAAGGGCTCTCACAGACCCCTAATCTTATCCAATAAAAAGATATGGGATATGGCAGTCTATTGTCCTTCCAAGCTAAAATAACGAGTTCTTATTGCAGCAGGATTGTAGCGGTTGGCTTTCATGCAGGTAGCTGTAGCTTGAAGACGGCCCTCGTAGTGTGGATGGAGGATGAAGGAAGAACACCTTACTTCTTTCAAAAGACGGAAACAGAGTAATTTTTTCCCACTAGCCTAACTAATGATTTTACCTCACTTTGTTGTATTGTATAGACAAGCCTGACGTTATAGATAGGAATTCAGAAAAGAGTTCTAACTTACCTTCCTGACTGTGCTTCCTGCTTTTAGACCTATTTTCTATTCTAGTGGTAAGACTGTAGTCTACTGCAACAGGAGAAAGGACAGCAGGCCATCATGATAAGACCCTCTTTACGCTCTCTCTTTCTGCTTGCTCCTGTCAACGAATGAATTTACTACTTGTGTCACTGACATTCCATTAGCATGGTGGACTATAGACCGGCTTTCACGTTCACTCTATAGGAAGGGGACTTAGATTAATCGATTCAATGGGCGAACTGCTTTCCTTTAAAGGTAGCAAGTGATTGAAATGACAAGCTTGTAACTGATATGAAATCGGAAGACAGTAAGTTGGACGAGGAGCTCATGTACCATAGAGTGGGCAAATGCTCCCCTCTTTCAAGAGACTGTTTATGTTCTTGATTCTTTAGTCTCTTTACCTGCGAGCATGAATTCCTGAACCCAATACTAGGAAAGAGCTTCATACCCTATAGAACTGACAGATCGGCTAGCGAATATGGCTCAGTCTCAGTAGATCCCTCACTCGTCACCGGCTTGGTATGCTGGGAAGATGAAGAGATGAACTTTAGAATTCAGTTAAAGAGAAATTCAGCAAGAAGCTTTCGGGTTGGAAAGGTGCCCGCCCTCTTAGGTCAAGCTGGTAAGGCCTTGTTTTTAATGAAATCCACTCTTCAAAGCTTGCCTTTATTCCCTCCTTGTCCGGGGTCCCGAAAGGAATGGCTGGTAGGATTGAAGGAATTCGGACGAAATGTCCACGGTCTGGTGTTGGAGGGAGAGACAGAATTCATCTCATCGCATGGGAGAAGGCTCTCCGAAGCTTCGATTTGGAGGCTTGGGCTGGAGCTCTAGCTAGTTAGACTAGAAGCTAGTTATTCTGGTCTACTTGTTGGGCAGGCCGGCCCTCCTTCATCCCTTCGTTCCAATGGATGTTAATGAAGACGATACCGATGACCAGACTGACAATGATGACGCATGTCAAATTCGTTAGCCCTGTAAGACAGGCCACTTTTATGTCAGGCTTTGCCCAGCTTGCTAATACACCATCCAAAAAGAAGAGAAAAGACTATGCTCAATTGGTGTCCACTGCCAACGTCACAAATATGGAGCACCGTCAATGTTCTAGTGGTTAAAGAAGGGTTGCTTTTATGAATGCCATGCAAGGAGTAGCCATAGAGGTTCCCTCCATTCAAAGTGGCACCACCTTTGGTACAAGAAGCTCACATGTTATTCTGGGTGATGGTTCAGGCTCTAATTTTGGGTCGTAGACACCTCAAACATCATGCATGGCTGATATTACTAGTGTTTTTCATCCATCTTGGAATATTACTTGTGAAACCGATGTGTTGGACTCGACATACAGCTATGACTTCATATCCAATGTCTTTCCACAAGTAACTTTGTCCCATATGATCAAGATGAGCACCGACGAACTCACCAGGAGAAGTCATGCCCACATGGTGTAGTCCATGGCCTATAATGTGGGGTTTAATAGCAGTCGTGGCCTCCACTGAAGCAACCGAGTATAATACCAAATATGAGCTTACCAAGAAAAAAAAGAGGAACATGATCGTTTGGTTCGTCAGGTTTCCAACGTAGAAATCGAAGTAGCCAATCTCCGTGCTAGCGATAGTGAGTTAAGTGGTCGACTCACCCAATCAAGAAATGATATGGGTTGGATGCTTCAAGAAGGTATTTCCGAATCTTTTGATAAATCCATGTGCACCGAGACATTTGTGAGTAACTCCAAAAGACTTTACAAAACATATAATGATTATGTCATGGAGCAAGGATTCAAATTAATGAAAGAAAACTATGGATTTGAGATCCCGGAACATGATATGTCGAGTGGGCGCTCCGAAGAATTGCAATATGCTCTGGCATCCTTTTCCAACGAAGGTTATGTGGCATCATCTGGACTGGACCGATCCAGTTTTGAGGCTTTTAAGGCCTCTTTGATTAAAGAAGAGGAATTATCTATGATTCTTATAAGATGTCTTGTCGTGTACCCTTGTAATGAATGTTTGTACTTTTTTCATTTGTAATGAATGTCTGTACTTTTTTAATTTGTAATGAATGTCTGTACTTCTGTACTTTTCTCATTTTTAATGAATGTCTTTGGGTATTTGTAAGTTGAGAAAATGATGATTGCATACTCTTAGCGTATGGGGAGAGTGTATAGGACATGTTTTCCTCCCGTAAAGGGTGAATTGTGTAATGTATAATGTTCAAACTCTCTCATGTCATCGAGAGTGACTTATAGGTTATTTGGATAACCCAGGGAAGTTTGTCTTCGCTAGGTGTGATGGGCACCCAGAATATGTCTCATGTGATCAACCATATGCAAAGATAATGATAGAAATTGCTAAAATTGATCACATTCAAAAGTTCACATTTGAAATTCCTCAAAGCACTCAAATGTTGCAATTCAAACTTGTGAAGTATCAAATGTAAATGTAGGACATAAGTATGAGAGTTCAAATTCAGATGTGCAAGAAACAAAAAATAATGAAAATACCAAAACTTATGAATGAAGGAGAATACTTTTCCTTTTAGAAGTTATATTTCCTTAGGTTTATGATGTTCCACGTGCGATGCAGTGGGTTCCTTGGAGTGTTTTGAGCATATAAGACCTGTTTTGATGAGCTTCTATCACTTTGTAAGGGCCTTCCCAATTCTGGCTCAGCTTCCCCTGATTTGCAGCTCTACTCGCTTCGTTTCATCTAAGCACTAAGTCCCCTACCTTGCATGCTCTTTCCCTAATGCGACTGTTGTAGTACTTCTATGTCTGGGACTTATAATTTTCTTGTCTCAGAGTTGCCACCTCCCGCGTTTCTTGAAAGAGGTCTAGGTTTTTCCGTAAGCCTGTTTCTGATTTTTCTATGTTGAAATTGAGCACTCGATCAGTTGGAAGTCCTATTTCTAGTGGAAGAACGGATTCGGATCCGTAGATAATACTAAATTGTGTTTCATTAGTAGTCGTCCTGGATGTCGTTCGGTATGACCATAGAACACTAGGGAGCTCGTTAAACTACCGTCCCTTAACATTGGATAGCCTTGTTTTTAGTCCTTTGACAATGGTTCTGTTAGTAACTTCTGTTTGACCATTAGCCTGTGGATGTGCTACTGAGGTGAACTTCTATTCTATTTTCATATCGATGCATCATTGCTTGAAAGGATTTTCTGCAAACTGCTTACCATTATCACTTAATATTGTATTTGACATGCCGAACCTGCTAATTATATTTTCCAGAAGAACCTGATAACATTTTTCCCAGCTATTACTACCAATGGCTCTGCTTCTACCCACTTCGTGAAGTAATTCTACCCATCGTCGTGGACTAGGTAATTCTATCGTCGCATGGGGATTTGATTTTGATCTTTTTGGCTTCTCTATCGTCGTTGGGTAGGATTTCGTGGACTAGGTAATTCTAGATAGGAGTCATCCAACAGCCTTTCTGAGTGGTGGACCTGATGTGGTTGACTTCTTTTTCTTCTGTGCTACGTTCCCGTAGTATTTCTACGAGCACTTCCTTTGTGAAATGGGGGAAAGTTGTGGCTGCCATTTTACCCATCGCATTTGCTTGCTTGTTTTTTGATCGGGGAACCTGCTCAATCATAAATGTTTTAAACCTGCTAATAATTTTGTTTACCTTATTCAAATACGTTCGTAGATGTGGCTCGCGTACTTCGTATGATCCGTTTACCTAGTTTGCCACCAGCATGAAATCACCAAATGCCTTTAAGTGTTCTGCTCCGAGGTGTTGTGCCAACTTAAGTACTGTAATAAGGGCTTCGTACTCAGCCTCATTGTTGGAAGCTTCGAAGTAAAAACATAATGTGTATGTGATTGTTTCTCCACTGAGGATAGTGAGTACAAGACTTGCCCATGTTCCATCATTGTTTGAGGCTCCATCTATGAACAATATCCAACAATTTTCTTCTTCAATGTTTTCCTTTTCTTTGCGACCATTATGATGACTGCTCCAATCTTCGTATTTCATGCAAGAACCCAGCATATCACTTTTCCCGTTCTACCTTTCGACCTAAAACACAATTCAAAGGTTTAGATATCATAACCATCATTTCCTCCTTACGAAAGGTCTAAAAATTACCTCCTTAAGGCCCAAAGCGTTTACACAATCGACTTCCGGCCCACGACCCTGAAATAAGAAATGACAAACATGCAAAAGGAGAACATGCAAAAGGAATGTTGATCTCCATCATATATTAAGTTCTCCACTTAATAATCGCTAGTGTTAGAGGTTCCTTCATCGCTTAACTCTTGAAGGAACCTCTAACACTAGCAATCAAAAGGAATGTTGATCTCCTTCAAGAATTTGATTTCTTGTTATGAACATGTAAATTAATACTCAGGAAGTAGGTTCCAAACATGCAAAAGGAGAACATAATAATAAGCTAATTGAAATGTTGATCTCCATCATATATTAAGTTCTCCACTTAATAATCGCCAAATCAAACTAAAACTGATACTGCTTATGTTCTCAAGTTTAAGCGAACTAAAAGTGCTTAAGCCAATTCATATGCAAATCTAATGCCTTTTGAGTTTGTCTAACTATCAGACTCGGTCAGTGACATTGGCTTAGGGAATGGAATGGCAAGATTATCTTCCGATATGACTTATTGACTATGATGTCTTTATATTTGAACAAATATCAAATGTTATGGTACTTACTGAGTATGTGAGCTTCTACGACTTGGGATCCATACTCGATTTAAGCTCACCCTTATAGTAACAAGAACCTTCAAAAAGGACTGTCAATGATTGAATTTCAAAATGATGTCACTAATGAATATCTTTTAATCACATTGTTTTATTTGCAATTTAACCAACTGCAATATACTCTAAGTTTGTTGTTAAATCCATTATCGTGTATTACTTGGTACTCATCCAAGCTAATACTTCGCCATTCAGTAAAAGCACGAATTTTGACTACGAACAAAATTGTATTTATCAATGTGGAACTTAGCATCAGTGTAACCTTTACATTGACCTCTTCCATTCTTGATCTCGCCAAATTGATCTAATCCAACTTGTTTTGCTCAAGGCATATGAGTCATTAAATCGGGTACATGTCATGGCATATATAATTGATCCTATATCAGAAGCATGTAGGACATGAATCATATCATCTAGCTCAACAGTAGAACTAGGATATTAGCATCTCTCAATGTCATCCCATATTTTATTACTAAGCACGAACCCTTTTCGAGTTTTTCATGTCGATTTTCCTCAATATTCCATGTACTATGGCTTAATCCAATGAATCACTTAGATCTATCTCCATAGATCCTTATATTTTGTATGTGTGATGTATCACCCATGTGTATCATAATGAAACAATTTCCACACCAAGCCAAGATTTTACACTTGCTAAGTAAGAACATAATTTCCTATGAATCATACAATTTCTATGTACAACATAAGGGTGACAACAATGTTCCCACTAGCATTGACATACATATATAGCTGATCTACGTTTCTCGAAATTCAAACTCCTTGAGCTTTTTCATTGAAACAAGGATTCCAATTTCTCCTCTTAGCTTTGACATATATATGGCTCATCTTTGTTTCTCGAAACTCAAACTCATTGACCTTTCTCGTTAAAATAAGGAGTCCAATTGCGAGATGCTTGTTTTGATTCATAAATTAACTTATCAAGCTTACACATCCTTCATAACCTATCTTGGTTTGATCATGTGTTTGTTACTATCCATGCTTATCTCTTCTTGAAGATCCACTTACACCTAACAGTTAAGTCCAAGTGCTTGATCTACCATGTTTCAACATACATGGACTGAATCTCGTTATCCATTTCCTCTTTCCATGTTGCAGCCTTTACGGCCCACCATAACTTCTAGTAACTGGTATACTCTAATTGTTATCTACTTTTGACTCATATACCCTAGTAACATAAACTCTTATATAACTAGTTGTATGACGTCCTTTATCAGATCTATAAGGAAGAGGTGGAGGTATGTCAGTTTCATGAATAACTCTTTCAATCTTGAATTGAATGATATGTCCAACTTTAGGTTCTTTGTTGGTTAACTCTTGAATCTTATCAAGATTAACATGGCTCCCACTAACACTTTTGGGTATCAGCTCCCTCTCTTGGAAGACTGCCTTTCGAGCAACACACACTTTGTTCTCATAAGGTTTGTTAAACAACTATCCAAAATTCTTGTTGCGATGTTTAATGAGATAACACATCTCTATTCTGTGTTTTAGATTTTTAAGCGCCTCACGACGAATGTAAGCCTCATAATCATAGACTTCTATATGTGTTAGTGAGGTATGAGTCCTACTTAACATATCATAGAGTGTTCATGAACTTTCTTAGTTGGTACAAGACCAAAGGACGTCTCGTAACAGCATTCTTGGTACAGTCCATGAACTGTTACTAAGCATAGTACGACTCATCCAGTGCAAAATCAATCAATAATTTGTTTCTCCATCTAACTAAAAATATTTGTAACAGTGTTCCTGGTGGATACAGCTCGTGAAACACTTTCAATGTTCCTTAGATGATCGATAAAGTTTTGATTGAGATGATTACTATTATATCTCATCCTATTTCCTAGTTGATTCTTAGCTTCTCTTTATGAGTGCGCTGAACACTTGAAAGGTTCTAGACCCATGTTCATACGAAGTTGGTCTTACCATGTATTGTGGTTAATCTGAAAGGTCCATTAGTATGAACTAATTCCAACAGATATTCACGTCGCCTTATGATGTATTCATCAACTATCTTGATAAACAAGATTTGCATTTATCATAAGACTTGTAATCCAATGATATCCACAATCTGATCTAACTAGATGCTTGGTAATGAATTTCTTAATTATATGATCAAGACTATAATTACAAAATACACTTCACCCAAAGCCTTTTGGATGTATTTGAATCAGTATGTATAGTGGTCAATCTAAACAATCCATTAGTTGAAGTAATTCTAATAGATATTCTTATTGTATGGTAGTATTCTCATCATCCATCTTGACAAAAGACTAGCATTTATCA